CGATGTCAACATAGCAAAACTGCGAAAACAACCATAGTGAATTTAAATGTCAAGCTATTTTACATAGATATTGAGAAGTATTCACATTTTTCTCTTGTTTACATAAAGGAAGCATCCATTTCTAAAGCAATAGTGTATTTTGTCAATTATATACTCAATAATCTTTAAATTAAATATAGTTTTAATTCCTCTATTTTATCTCACTCACATATTATTCTTCACCTACACATTTTAAGGTTGAACTCATTTAAAATTTACGTTTAATTTACACCATAAAAAAAAACCATCTCTGTATAATTCACTTTCACACCATCACCTCACTTTTCATATAAGTATCTCATTTATCAAATCATTAAACTCCAAATACAAAATTAAGAAGATCATTTCAACTCTTATGCAAATCACTACAAATGCTTAAATGATCGACAAATTATTCATATAAAAAGGTAAGATGTAGCCTTCAATAATCAACCCAAAACATACAACAAATTCTCAATTTTGAAATAAGCTAAATTCCATTATGTCAAATCAATACTTTACTAGACCACTTTTCTTCACTAATACTTTATATAAACAAAGACATCTTAATTGTTATATATTAAACTTCCCTCAGTCCTGTCTCCCCAGGCCCCCCATCCAAATAGAAGTTCTTAGACCCTTTTGTTGTGTTAATTTGTTCAAATATGTCCTTCAAATTTAGGTATACAAGATGCACAGAATTTAAAAGTGGTTGTTAAAAGCTAAACCTAGCTACCTAGCTTTTGGATTATTGATTTGGTTAGGGCAATAATAGTAAGATTCACAATATGGCTATAACTTTATGTGTCTGTTGACAAAAGTGGTAAACAATAATTGTACCATTAGGGAGAAATATATTTAAATAATGTTAATATATCACTATCAAAAAATATAAATAAAAAAATTTAGAGTATGGTGTAAAAATGATGACAATGTTATCTTACAAAATAATTATTAAAGTGCGAAAATTCAATCAGATATAATTTATAGTGAGCTGATACGATAATGAAAACTATTTTAAATTGTAAAAATTCAATCAGATATGATTTATGGTGAACTGATACGATAATGAAAACTACTTTAAATTTTAATAGTAATTGACGTTGATATTATTAGTAGAAGTTCGTATTCATATAAACTCGTACGTATTATAATTAAGATTATAATCTAATCATTGTTAATTTAATAAAAATGAAAATAAAATTATTTTTTTATTTTTTGCCTTATTTGGTAACCTACTAATAATACCATAAACTTTAGCTTGTAATTTTATTTTATAATATTAATAGATTTTTTGAATCATTTTTTTATATCAATTCAACCTAAATCACATAAGAAACAACCCTAAACCATCGTCTAAAAGTTCATAAGTCTCATAATTGCTTCATAGTTGCGTTTTAAATATTTTTATTTTAAAAATATTTTAGTGGCAAACAGCATCTTGTCACAAGCAGCACCTATTGTGCACCGAGAGGAGTTGAAAGAGAGGGATGCACTAATGTTATATATATATATATATATATATATATATATATATATATATATATATATATATATATATATATATATATATATATATATATATATATATATATATATATATATATATATATATATATATATATATATATATATATATATATATATATATATATATATATATATATATATATATATATATATATATATATATATATATATATATATATATATATATATATATATATATATATATATATATATATATATATATATATATATATATATATATATATATATATATATATATATATATATATATATATATATATATATATATATATATATATATATATATATATATATATATATATATATATATATATATATATATATATATATATATATATAATTTAGAGATAGATTTAATATATATACAATTAACTTTAAATCTTTGTAACGAATGTATTAAGTCAATTCGATTATTGAATTGAGAGGTATTATGAAATAGATAAAGTCTATAAAAGTTTTAAAATTATTTAATATTTTAGACATAATTTATTTTAACATATAAAAATTATTTTAAAATTATCTAAATATAAATTACAAAATATTTTAAAACAACTGATTTTAAATTGTTTAAAATGTTAATTATATGATTATTGAATGTGAAAAAAATATATAAGAGGGGGTGGACATTTGAATTGTGTATTTCAAAAATTTGTTTTATTTCTTAAATTGAAGTTTCAGAATCTAAACCACGTTTAAATTCTGATATCAAAATAAGTAATAACGGCAAAAATATAATGTTTAGAAGTGAATTCAAGCAACACATAAGGATTATCATGGTTTCTTTCTTCAACCGAGAGTAGTTCACTCGCCTTGCTTCAATAAGAGTTTTTCATTATAACCAAACAAATTATAATTGCTCAGTCACACTTGCAAGACACTTTAGTGTCAATCAACCTAGAAAGAGCTTCTGCTCAAGAAACTTTGCAAGAGCCTCCTACTTAATCAGCCTAAAATGAGACTTTTCTTTGCTCAAGTACATAGACAAGAGACTTCAATGCTAAAGCATGCAGGCAAGAAACTTCCTCTACTTTAAACAAATAGTTTAGTAAAAAAGATAACTATTATACTTTGATACATAATTAGAAATATACCAATTGTGCAATAATCACAGAGGTTTTCAACCTTTCTAAGATTTTAAAGATAATCCAAGATAAGAAATCTTAAGAACTTATGCTATAACAATTACAATAACAACTCAAAGTTATGCCAAGATCTTTAATGTGTTGTGATGTTCTAACCTTCCTTTGAATGTTCAGCTTCCTTTTATAGAGGTAGAGAAAGATTCGTTGGAGGTTTGAACAACAACAAACTTAGTGAGTAAGTATACCAAGAGAGACATTGGAGAGTTGTATCTGGTCAGAAGTATTGTCTGTTGAATAAAAGCATTGTCCACAACACGTTTCAAATAACTAGGTATCTACCAAAAGGTAGAACATAGTGAAGAGGTCACATCACCATCCTTAAGCCTTGAAAAACCAAACCCTAGTTGACTCTGTCAGGAAATATGTCTCTTTGACAAGACTGGTCAGCTTTGGTGCAAAGTACAGATCCGACGCTCCTTAAGCCTTCAAGGTCTGAGCTGTCACCAAAGTTTGAATTAGCATACCAGAGTCTGAACCTTCAGATGCTGATGAACATGTTCAGATTCTGATCATCATATCTGAGTAGTAATGTTTACTCACTTATATTTCAATAGGATTAATTCATGATGAATTCTTAACTTATGATCCTACACACTTGAACATATGTTAGTATACCCTTTTGTTCTTTAAATACTTTGTTATCATCAAAATCCAATGAGTATGGACAATCTTGTTCCAACATTATGATGATAATATTATATAGTTCAATGATATAATTGATATAATTTAATTTTTACATAGAGATTGAATATTAACTTTACATGTTAAGTTATTTAGGGTGAGGCTAATAGGGGCTCTAAGGTTGTCTGGATAAAATGGGATGTTGTGTGTAAGTTTAAGAAGTTAAACGACCTTAGTGTCTGTGATTTGAGGTTGATTAACCTGACGTTTTTAGGTAAGTGAAGGTGGAGGATACTATCAAGGACTTCTGGTATATAGCATGATATTTTAAATACAAAATATGGGTGTATGTCTATATTATCTGCCTCGGGTGGTAGAGGCGGGTGTCTTCGGTTAGCCTTGTCTTGGTGGAGAGGGGTATATATTTTCTTGGGTCTAAATTAGAAGACTTTATTGACTAGTTTTGTGATGGCTTACTCATGCAGGTGCGTTTGGGTCTTCGCACGTTTTTCTAAAATGACCATTGGTTAGGAGTCAGTCCTCTTAGTGCTCGCTTCCTTAGGATCTTATTTATCTAAAATAAGAAAACTTGTTATGTGGGGAATGTTGGTAAGTGGGAGGTTTAGTTCTGGGTATGAGACTTTAATTGGAGACGAACCTATATTCTCTAGCATGAACAAAGTTTTATTTTCGTTCTTATATCGTTTATTAGTAGTTTATTTCCTTTGAGCTGCAAGATCAGTGGTGGTGGTGGTATCGTCATTTTAAAGATAATAATTATTTTGTTTTCACTGTCTTCTCCTTTTGCGAGAGCTTCCTAGAGATACTCATATCTCCCTTGTTGAGAGTGTTCTCCCTCGTCGTGTTTAGAGTACTTGGGCTCCCTCCAAAGAGTTTTTTCTTGGAAGCTCCTCTAAGATCAAACCCCAATAGAAAACTTATTTAATAGGAGAATCCATGTGGAGTTGGAGAATGTCATGTATGTTCATCGGTTATACAATCGTCCTCCTATCTTTTTGTAACCTATGAGTTGGCGGGAGTTTATCTATTATGAGTTTGTCTATTACGAAAGAGTTAACTTTTTTTTGTCTTTTAATTGGTATTCCCTCCATTTTATAATATATATTTTTTAATTATACTTTTTTAAATAACAATTAATAATGTTAATTTTAATATTAAATAAATTTTATTTATTAAAATATATTTATTAATAATAGTTAATAAAGTATTTAAATTATTTAAATATGATAAATAAAGATATATTAATAAAAAATAAACATAAATTTGAGACAAAAAAATAGTAAATGAAACACATAATTTAAAATGGAGCAAGTAATCATTTTCTCTATTTTTGTTCTGTTATCAAGTAATGAGAGATACAGGATGGAATATTTCTTGTACTCAATTTTAAATTTATAAACATTTGATTTTTTATATAAAAAAAGTTTTCTCCTAAATACAAATAAGATAAGAAAAAGATGAAAAGAAAGCAACTACAATGGCCCATAAATTGTCTACTCATTAGCCCAATGACATGATCTCCATCTATGATATGCCTTCACTCTACACTCTATTCATTTCACCTTTCACCTCTCATTTTTCTTCTTGTTTCTTTATCTACAAAAAGCCAAACACCTCTCAATCTTCATCATTCACCATAAACCAAACATGTCTTCAAGTGGTGCAGAAGGAGGAGGATCATCAACCTCTCCACAAGGGATCACGCTTAGTCGATACGAGTCGCAAAAGAGAAGAGATTGGAACACTTTTGGACAATACTTAAACAACCTAAGACCAGCAGTTCCAATTTCTCAATGCAATTCCAACCATGTTTTGGAGTTTCTTAGGTATTTAGATCAATTTGGAAAAACCAAAGTTCATCTACAAGGTTGTATGTTTTATGGACAGCCAGAACCACCAGCACCTTGTACTTGTCCTCTAAGACAAGCTTGGGGAAGCCTTGATGCCCTTATTGGGAGGTTAAGGGCTGCTTATGAGGAAAACGGCGGAACTCCAGAGACTAATCCTTTCGCCAGCGGCGCTATTCGTGTTTTTCTTAGAGAGGTTAGGGAGTGTCAAGCTAAGGCTAGAGGTATCCCTTACAAGAAGAAAAAGAAGAGCACAAGTAATCAAAGCAAGGGAAATGATGAATCTAGCTCATCAACCATGCACTTTTCTTGAATTTCCATTTCAAATTATGGTAATTGATTAATTAATCTCTTTAATTATCACTCATTATATAATAAAAATGAACACTAAGAGTAATGGTTTATAGAGTTCATTTCAATGTTTGTGGATTCAAGTTGCTTGCATAAGGAACAAAAACACTATTTTATGTCACTTTAATTATTAATTATTTTTTATTTGGATTATAGCTTTCCCCTAATTTAGCCTTTTTAAGATTCTGCAGATTTTGTGTCCCATGCATGATTGTTCTTGAGATGACATATGCTCTTTCTTAAATTACTATCAAATAAAGAAATGAAATTATCCAAAGCTTTTCATTAATTAATGTTTGAAGCTAAACTGAGATATTACGTTAACATTTTAAATTTCAAATTGTATATATTTAATATATGGAAGATCCATGCAATGAGTGATTGGGATGTAACACTTTGTTTTCTACCATGATGACATGTACCCCTTGATTGATTGATGAGATCATGACACACACACAGTGTAGCTTTTGTCAGGGTTTCTTCAGAATGTGTATGAATAATGATTTCTATAATAATGTATATACAACTTTCATTGAGATGAAACAATGTGGTGTTGTTATATATAGCAAAGATCTAAGGAATATTTATTCAGTTTTCATTGTGTGCACAGTTATGGTCTTTTTCTGTCAGTTAGCTGCTGGGTTTCAAGTAATTAGGGTTTTCTTGTTTGGGATATATTAATCCCAATAATTCAAGTTAAGTGATGAGGTAAACTTTTGTAGCGTCGGATGTTTTAGGTTGGCTTGTTTTTCTTTTATGTTTTTAGGCCGGTTTGTTGGGATGGTTCTGATGTTTTGTTTTGGCCTAGACTTTGCCAGGTTTTTTGTTCTTACGGTTTTTTTTATTTTATTTTGGCATCAGATTTTGTGATCGATTAATTCAAGAGGATTAATTTCACCATTCATTTGAAGTGTTTGTTTAAAACCAAAACAAAACTCTTTATATGGATTTGTGAACTTCTGATGCTATTTTCTTTTGTTTGTTTGATATGATATCGCTTGTAACTTTTGTTTCTCCTTTATATTAATATATAGTTCATTTTTTTGCTATTAAAATAAATATTTGTCGCATTTACGCAAGTATATATGCAAATTTCTTAAGAATTTTTTTTTGTCAAATGTAGAAAAAAATGAAATACCTAGAAAACTAATTTCCAATGATCATGTTTCTTTTGCAGGATAATCAAATTGGAGTTGTAATGGAGATTTGGTCGATGGATCGATAAAATGCTGGCACGCCACTTTTTAATGATAATTTCTGTTACCTATATTTATTCATGATTATGTAAGCTCCAGTAGTTGATCTATGTTGCATTATTAATATTTCAAACATATGTAGTTGCTTACCTTGCATGAATATTTTTGGGATTGGTACCATGTAAGTGTTTTGTTAATGTTACCCAATTCCATTGAAGTGTTATTTTTGGGCTCATATAGTATGTGAAAATCTTAGCAGTGGCACCTCTGACACTGATTTCCTAGTATAGTCGGATTTTTGTGCCACAAAATGACTATAGTATGTGAAAATCTATGAATCACCACCATGAGCAATGTGAACCCAAATGAGTTAGGAAAACGGGGATATATAGTAGTTTTTTATTGTCCCATACTTGATTTGGAAATCTGTAATAGCTATAATAGCCATATTGGGAGTGTGGTAAGATGTAACTGTCTTAGAGCACCTCCAATGGTGCAACTCATTTTTGGGTTCTTTGTGGGATCCACTCTTTTAAAGCAACTCATTTAATTTTCACTCCAATGATGCAACTTCAAAGAACTCATATTGGGTCCCACCACTTTATTTAAAATATATTATTTATATTAAATTTATTTTATTTAAAATTATAATTTAAATATTTAAATTTTAATTAATATAAATACAAATTAAACATAAAATTAAAATTAAACATAAAATTGAAAATAATAATTAAAATTAAATTTAAATACATGTCACATAATTAAAAACAATAAAAATAAATAACATCACATAATTAAAAACAATAAAAATAAATAACATCACATAAACAAATGTAATTTAAAATAAAAAGATGAAAATTTGGCCTAAACAAATGTAATTTGAAATAAAAAGATGAAAATTTGAAATAAAATGATAATGAGAAGAAATTGTTGAAAAAAAATTAAATATTTATGAATAAAATGATGAAATTGTGAGAGAGAAATTTGAAATTAAAGAGCAAATAAAAAGGAGAGAAAATAGGAATAAAAAGGAGAGAAAATAGGAATGATATAAATTTTTTCCAACAAACCTATATTTATAATAAATAAAAAAGTTAAAAAAATAAAATAAAGCTAAATGATTATTTTAATAATAAACCAAATGAAGAACCGTTGCTTATGTTTGTAACGTTCTACAGCTGGAATAACATTTTGTTGATATTTTCAATGCCAAGCTGGCAAACCAATTTGAAAAACCACCGTTGGAGTTGGTCTTAGCTTTCTGAGCCTAAATGTGAGAGAAAGGTTTGCTAATTCTGGCATGCCCTCTATGTCAGAGGTATGATACTGAGTTAAAAGCTTATAAGTTTATGGTATGATGCTAAGTGCTATGATGCCTAGGCACGAGTACGATACTATGGTATTTTTTTTTTTTAAATTAAGGTTTGGATACGTTAATAAAAAATATGAGTTTTTTTATAAAATGTTTGAGTCGATAACTAAATTATTAGATTCACAACAAAATAATACTATAAAAGTTTTAAAAAATAAAAAACAATGTTAATATACAATAACGAAGAAATTAAAATATATAAATATTCTATATTAATGTTTGAGAAAATCACAAATTTCGCTCAAAATGAATAATAAAAAAATGAAATACCATAAATATGATATAGGTATGTATCTGGTACCGGTACTTCATCATTTTAGAAGTATCCATACTTCAGAGCTTAAGTGTAATTGGTTATGTACTTATGGTAAATTAGAAAATAATAACTATGATAAGCAAATATAATTAAAAGTGATTAAGTTTTTATTTCGAATCATCTATTTCTAAACGTGAGAATTCTTATGACTACTCCTATAACAACTATGATTTATTATGACATTTTAAAAACACAGAATTAAGTCATTACAACCTCTCAGATATCAAGAGCCTCCAATCACAAGGCAACCCACTTCATCAAAGCAACCTCTCAGATACTTGGAGTCTCCGATCGCTAAGACGAAGATTATATGTCACGTAAATAAAAAGTTAGTTTTACAAAACACGGAATTACACCTTGCAACTTCCAGATACTGAGAGTCTCCAATCGCAAGGATACTCGCTTCGTCATAACAACCTCATGTTAGGTGAGAATATGGACACAAAGAGATCTAGAAAGGGGGTTGAATAGATTTATCTCCTAAGAGACAATTTCAAAAATACTTTAGGTCCCATAAACGAAATCAGATATTTTAAGAAACACGAAAGCAAAACACAACACTAAGAGAGCTTGGAAACATCTTAATGAATTAAACCAAGTGAAATATTACAGGATATCACTAAGGACTTGACTACTTTTTGTCGCGGTGAGAATCGGAGAGTAAAGCTATTAGATTAGCTTGACTTGCAATGATAATATATCACCGCCGAACTTTTATTTTTCCAAGGAAAGGGAGAAAAGATCGAACAAAAACTATAAGTAAACATGCAAAGCATAAAGCAAGGCCTAAAGTTAAGCAAAGAGAAATCAAAGGTACGAGAGTTAGTTATACTAAGGGAATGTACTAGCATCATAAGCATATGTAGTATCCTACAAGAACCTCTTGAAATATTTATGTTTTGGCTAAAACTGTTTGCCAGAGATAAAAGATTGGCAAAGAAAAACAAAGACAGGCAAGACAAAGCAACAAACATACAATGGACATGCACATGACCATAAGTCAACATACACTCTCTTTCCTTAGATTAGGTCACAAGTGTAAAAATAAAGCAATAAATACATGGCAAATCATCATGTATGAAAGTAACAAATACATGGAAAATCATCATGTAATCAACAGGTACATGGCAAGAACATCATGTAACAAAGTAACAGATACATGGAAAATCATTATGTAATCAACAAATAAAATCAACAATGTACATGGAAAATCATCATGTAGAATCAACAAATAACACAAAGCAAATATCAACTCACAAATCCATGTCTAGAGTTTGTTTATTGATAGATGAATATCTTAGATCAAGTTTTGTAAAATCTAGGTCTAGAGTGATACAAATCATAAATAGATATTTAAGAACAAAAAAATTCACCATATTTTAATCATCAACTTGTTCACATGCAAAGAGATCAAAAGAAATAAGTACAAGCTAAGATAGACTACATCTACTTTTGATACAAAGGATTTAGCTACCCATCACCATGGTAGCTTGATTCACAAGGAAAGATAGAAGATGAATATGCATCCAAGATGAAGAATTGATCTAGGATGCGAATCCAACTTCTACTTGTAAAATATCACTTCTTGATGAAGAAATGAAGAACTTAGGGTTTTTCTCTCTAAACCAATGTGTTTATTTTAATAAAATGATGTTATGAGGTTATGATCCCCAAAAAGTAAGAAATAGTACATAAATATCTTTACAAAATCTGCCTCGCTCGCACTGCGAGCTCTCTGTTTGCACTATAAACTTCACTTATAGGCACATGAAGTGCCTCTAAACAGTTAAATCTCCCCTAAGGATTCTTTAACTTCGCACTGCGAAATTTTTTGCCCAGGATTTGCACTGTGTTCAGTGAGGCGTTTAGCTACTTCCATCCAAAATTCCTAGCTCGCCTTGGCCTCACTTTGAGCTTGCACTACAAGCTCACCTGCACTTCGCTACTTGCTTGCACTACGAACCTGCTGGATTCTTCATTATTTCTTTGGCTTCCTTGTCCATTCATTTGTGCCTTATTCTTTGATAATCAAGTTTAATTCCTATGCAATAACACACACATCAAGGAATCCAAAGGTA